CTCCAAAAATCTTTTCAAAAATCAGGTGTTAAATCAGTTTATTAAATATTTTTAATTATAATATAATACAATTATCCCAATTTTTTAAATTTCAAATTCAAATCATTCTCTCTCTACTATCTATCCTCTTCATCGGAGGCAGCCATCAACTCCTACGATTGCTCCGACGACTATTTCGGCCGTCACTAGCAGCCGCAAGAGATGTCAATGGGTTGAGTCGAGTAGGCTAGGCCCTTAAACCCACGAGCTCGGCTCGTGGAGAAACGAGCCACGAGCTCACAAACAGAGCCAGCTAATCTGCTTGCCCACGAGCTTGCGAGCCGAGCCGGCTGCATCCTCAATGAGAAATGAGAATATCTATTGGTCACAATCGATCACAACGAGTCACAATTAATCAATCACAATCGGTTACAACCAATCACAATAAGCACATATTTGATCAAAAATGGTTACAACGAACAATCTGCACCCACCATAGCAAATTGAATAAAAAAACCACCAACAAACTCCAACAATTCAAAAATCAATCTATTGTGTAGATCTACAAAAAATAATTGATTTTTGTTGTTCTGTACTAAATGTTTTTCTACCACCATCAACCACCACAACCCACATCACCACCACTTCCAAACTACCGCTGTATCCTCAATAACAACTACTATCACCATCTCTACAATGAGAAATGAGAATATCTATGAAGAGGAAGACCAAAGCAGATCACGAACACTCCACACTCCACCCGACACCACAACCACGTCACAAACCCCTACAACCACAACATCACCTCTATCAACACCAACAACCACGGTTTTACCTCCATTAACACCAAAAACAATAGCCAACAACCACTTCTCAAGACCAGGCGCTACTACCGCGAACGGCAACACTATCAGCAGCGACTCAGATCCGATTATCCCGATCATTAAGCTGCACGGGGTTACGTTCATCGGCTGAAATCTCGCCTCACCTAGTCGATGGTTTTCATGAAACAACACCATCAAAAACAGATTCACGAATGCGCTGCTCATATCTATTTTTTCTTATCGCAAGCAATCACTCCATGAACGATGAATCCTTGTGATGTTGCTTCGAGATGATAGAATGGGAAAAAGGCGGTTTGGGTTGTCGATGCCAAAATCAACTAGTTGGTCTCTGAGAGAGAGAATGGGCTAGAAACGATTTCCTCCGCCTTTAACCGGTGCTTCAAGCGACTGATCGCTGCTGTGCGCTGCCTTGTTGGCTGGAGCTTCGTTACAGCCTACGAGCGAGTAGAGATGGCAAAAAAAATCACCCCGCCCCGACCCGACCCGACGGTACCCCGCCCCGAACTCGCCCCGTGAACCGTTTAAAAAAAAGTATCCATGTATTCTCTGGTAGAATACATGATGAACAAATATTTTTTGGAAGTAGAGCTATGGATTTATGTTCTTAAATTTGATGAACAATTTTTTTTGGAAGTAAAGTTATATTTTTCCTTAACCGTATAACTGGAATTTTTTTAAGCAAAAAATAAATTATAAAAAAAATAAACGGGGCAGGGAAACGGTCCTGCAACGCGCCCCGCCCCACCCCATCTTAGACAGGGCCGAGCACGAGGCGGGGCGGGGCGGGGCACGGGAGTGGTGGGACGGGGAGGGATAGGGGCTCTCCGCCCCGAACCCGCCCCGTTGTCATCTCTACAAGCGAGGGAGAGAGAGAGAGAGAGCGCCAGTGAGAAATAGAGGTGAGAGAGATTAATTTAATTTTGATTAAAACCTAATTTTAATAAATAATTATTAGGTAATACCTGATTTTTGATTAAATAAAATTTACATCTGATTTTTGTATTTGTAAACTTAAATGTCCGATTTCAGGTAATTTTCTCAAAAAAATAAAATAAAATAAAATAAAAATAAATCCATAATTTTTATTTTTTGTTTTTACCCTCAAAAAAATTGAATTGAGTTTGGGGGTCTAGGCTGAAGGCCCGACCAAGTTCCCTCCTAAAACTACCCCTGCTTATTATCATGGAAAAGATCATTGGAAACAAAATCGACGGGATAATTATCTGATTGGTCGCTAAACTTTACGAAAGATTTCTAGAAGGTCACCGAACTTTAAAAGTTTCCTCGTTTGTCATTGAACTTTATAAAAATGTAATTTCATCCATCATCGAAAACTTCAAAAGTTTCAAAGTTAGTCACTAAACTTTACAAACTATAATTACATTCAATACTCAATGATGGGTGATTGATGAGCGATAGGTATAATTACATTTTGTAAAGTTCAGTAACTGACGGAGAAACCTTTTAAAGTTCAGTGACTTCCTGAAATTTTTTTGCAAAGTTCAATGACTAATTAGGTAATTAACCAATATTTATGTTTTTTAATTTTTTTTTCTTTCTTTTTTTCTAACAACCTTGTCGGTTATTTCCTGAATAAAAGGTTATTCTTTTCTCTAGGTTTGACGATACTAGAGAGAATAAAATTGTGGGGTAGAAGTACAAAAAAAGAAAGAAAAAGACTAAAAAAACATAAATATTGGTTAATTACTTGATTGATCACTGAACTTTGCAAAATATTTTCAGGAGGTCACTAAATTCCAAAAGTTTCCCTATTAGTCACTAAATTTTACAAAATGTTATCTCATCCATTACCGTGAATTTCAAAAGTCATCACATTTGTCATTGAACTTTACAAATGTAATTTCATCCATCACTCGGATTACATTTTGTAAAATTTAATGATTAAAGGGGAAACTTTTGAAGTTCAGTGACTCTCTAAAAACCTTATGCAAACTTAAGCGATCAATTAGATAACTATACCCAAAATTGACTACTGTTATAAAATCGATTTTTCTATTCTCTAGGAGGACAACCATTACAAAATAATTATCCCACCTCTCAATTTCGTGTACCACTCCTATCTGTAGCAACTATCACAATGGAAACTACAGAAGCAACTACGTCACCTCCTAGATTTGGGTGCTCCACACGTGACATCCGATATATCCCTTTCGCATGATTGTTCTACAACTCAGTCACCTACTTTTGTTAAAGTTTCTAATTGTTCCTTTGCACCAATTCAATGCGTTGGAACTATTATACAACCAACATTATAAGAATTTTCACTGTTGCCCTTGATTCTTCCTCGATCTGAACATGCTTTTCAATTTGTTTCAAAGAAAAATCTTCGGAGTTATGAATAATTTATTCAAACTGACTTGCAATACATGTACTTGAGGCAACAACGGGATATTATCTAACAAATTAAAATATTTAGAAATTAAAAATTTCTTGATACCTTCTTCCTCAATTTTGTATTTGGTCTCAAGTACTTCCCTAATTTTTTTAGTCGAAGTGGTGTTGGTGTAGAGATCGTATAATACTCAGATATTGCATTTAGAATATGCCCGTGACAAATCAATTCATCCTCATGTCTTTTATTTTGCTCGGTCCATACTTCTTCGGAATCTTCATCAAATGGTTTAGAAATTGGTACCAAATTTAGATCAAGAACATATAAGATCCTCAATGTTGCCAACAAGAACTTGAGTTTATCATGCCATCGAGTAAAATTCGTTCCATCAGACTCTATAAACAAACCAAGTTTTGGTCCATCAATTTGATGGTTGCTAAAGTAGTTTCCTTCTCCATTGTAGTAGAAATATTGTTTGAAATTGTTAGAAAATAATGAGAAACACGAGAAGGAGAGAATATTCAAGAAGCAAAAACAGTAGGCTTGAACACGTAATCGTTGTGCCCAAACAATATTTATCCTCTTGTTTTTTAGACTACTTAAAGGGTTTCACAGCAATTGGTTTTTAAAAGAAAACGCTTAAAACTAGTTTGGATTTCTTCCAAGGATTTGAGAACTGAGATCTAACGGCGAATTGCATTAGAAATTAAAACCTCCTAGATTGCAGAATTATTAACTAAAACTAAAATAATTTTAGGTTCTTGTTTCAATAACGTCTCTATTAATATCGAATACAATGGGAACATGTGAAACGAAGGGAAATTCTCAATGTATTTATAAACGTACACATTAGTTCTCATTTAATTTTTCATTGTACGGAACGCTATTAAATGTTTAACATCGACTAGATGATGTTGGTTTTCTTGTTTCATTATAAGGTCTCAATCAACTAGAAGTTCAATATACAGCAAAAATTTAACACATTAAACAGAACAAAATCTTCAGATTGTGGAATTATATTTCTAGAGCTTCACATCAGTGTACATGCCGTTTCATAGGAGTTTATGTCGTACATTTCTTCTCGTCTGTTATGGGGGCGGAGCCACCTAAATCCTGCAGCTCAGAAGTCTCTCTTTAGAAACATCTCCTTGTATAATCCAAAACATATAATTCATGAACAAAAGATAAAGAACATCACTTTCATTTCTTGTATAAATTTATGTTAATTATGTCGCCCTGTCATCTTTTCCTAATTCCTAGTTTCCCTTAAACCATTTATAAAGCTCTATTACGATGTAGTTTTATTTCATTTTTACGTAAACAAAGTTGTAATCTTGTTTGAAACCATGAGCATACTTTTGGCAGTTTTTCTTTGCTTCATCGCACTTATTTTTGTTAGATTTCTCTACAAGGTTGTGTGGATTCCATTTCATGTACAAAATGTAATGCGATCACAAGGAATAGAAGGTCCCCCTTACAAATTTATTCATGGAAACAACAAAGAAGTCATGAGCATTAAGTTACAATCCATGAAATATCCTATGGAGTTATCCCATGATATATTCCCTAGAGTTCAACCTCACTTCCATCAATGGATGAAGTTATATGGTATGCAATTAACTCTCTCTCTCTCTCTCTCTCTCTCTATGTGTGTGTGTGCGTGCACGTTAACAAAGCGGCAAAAGCGAGTGTGATTCAGTGAGCAAATCTGGATTTCCAACGCCATGAAACATCTTTTTACCCTCTTCCACAACAGGAAGGAAATCTTCTCATACGGCCTTCACCTCCTGCTTGTGTATATCTTTATATATATTTGTTTTTTTATGAAAGTTTAAGTAGCTAAAGTCAGTTCATTCATTGAAACCAGGAAAGAATTTTCTTACTTGGGCGGGGCCTCAACCTCATATGGTGATTACTGAACCCGAGTTAGCTAAAGAAATACTAAACAATAAAGAAGGAATGTACCCCAAAATGAAAATAAGAGGCATTGTGAAAAAGTTTCTGGGAGATGGGCTTGTTGTAGCAGAAGGGGAGAAATGGTTCAAAGTACGAAAACTGGCTAACCATGCTTTCTATGCGGAGAACTTGAAGGTAATTAACTTCTTTCTGTTATATTTTATCAAGTAGAATTTGAAAAAATGAACAGTATCAAGGTATTCAAGGTTCATCATATAATTCCTCGTTCAGGATATGGTTCCTGCAATGATTGCAAGTGTTGAAACTATGCTTGGAAAATGGAGAGATTACGAAGGCAAAGAAATCGATGTATGCAAAGAATTCGTGGTTTTGGGTTCAGAAGTGATTTCCAGGACAGCTTTTGGAAGCAGTTATTTGGAAGGGAAGAATATATTTGAAAAGTTGACACGATTGGGCTTCATCGTTGCCAAAAGTGCAGAACAGTTTCGGTTTCCAGGCATTGAGTAATTTTCCAGCTCTCTACTTAAACAGGATGATGCTTCAAATTAGCATATAAACTTCATTCTGATTTTTTGCAGGAAAATATTTAAGACTGAGTATGACATTGAATCGGACAAAATCGAGCAGTCTCTTCGGGACTCAATCATGTTAATAATAAAGAAAAGAGAAGAAAAAGTAATGACAGGAGAAGCAGATACTTTTGGAAGTGATTTTCTTGGATCACTGTTAAAAGTTCACCATGATTCTGATAAGAGAAATAGAATATCAGTAGATGATGTAATTGATGAATGCAAGGTATTTTACATTGCTGGACATGAAACAACTAGCAGCTTACTTTCTTGGACTTCTCTTCTCTTAGCAATCCATCCAGATTGGCAAGAAAAAGCAAGAAAAGAAGTGCTTGAACTATTTGGAAAAGAAAATCCAACATCAGAAGGCCTTGCCAGAATGAAGATTGTAAGTATAACATTTGAACACAAATTTGCGTAGATTTAATATGACAGTAATATCGAGTCTAATCTGATTCTCCATTCCGAATGTGCCCCTTAGTAATTGACAGGATTGAACAGTGTGGGTAATGTTCTACATAGAAAACATGCCATAAGGGCACGTTTAATATACTGAATTGGATATAAGCGCACATTTCGTATACTTCTCTACTTTAATCATGCGACTCTTTTTTATCGTTGTGTGTTCAGGTAACAATGATCATCAACGAAGCCCTGAGACTGTACAGCCCGGCAGCAAGTCTAGTAAGAAGAGTGAAAAGAAAAGTTCGCCTGGGGAAGTACGAATTTCCAGGGAACATGGAGTTGCATATTCCACAACTCGCACTCCACAGAAATACTGAAATGTGGGGAGAAGATGCTCACCTTTTCAAGCCAGAGAGATTTACAGAAGGGGTGGCTAAGGCAACAAAGAATAATCCCATGGCATTCCTACCATTCGGTTCCGGGCCCCGAACGTGCGTTGGCCTAAACTTCGCTACAAATGAAGCGAAAATAGCACTCTCAATGATCCTTCAGCGCTATAAATTCACACCGTCTCCAAATTATGTTCATACCCCTCTATTGATTATCACTCTACGCCCCCAACATGGAGTGCAAATCAAGCTAGAACCAGTTGGGGTCTGATATTTTACATTAGCATAATCCAAGAAAAATAAAGACGCATATGTTGGAAACATCAAGTTATTCAAAAATTATCATTAAAATAACAAATGAATTGAAAGATCATTCATTTAATTACCCAAATTACATAACCGTGCAATTTGCTTCAAAACTACAAATATTTTGGTCCCACAATTATTTCTATTATCAGGATTCAGGATTTGATCAAGTCCCAAAGAGCTGCCCACCTATCCAACACGCTTTCTATGTGAAGTAACCGAAGCACTGGTAGCACATTAGCAAAATAGCTCTACCCATAAGCGTGAAATGAGAAGATTTACTTGAATGCACAGCATTATTGGCATAAAGAAGCTGAAAATTTATCCTTCAGGCGATTGATAAGCTTAAATTTCTCCTCAGCTTCCACCTGTTGACGAATGTCAGACTGCAAGGCTCGATCAGGGTGAAAGGTCAGCAAGGCCCGTTTGTAAGCTGTTTGTACCTGCAAATGTCAACAATTGTCACTAATCACTTTAAAAGAAATATGATAGTCTACTTCACAGACAGAAATATCAACAATATAATACACATGTAAAGAAAAAAAAACCACTAGGAGAAACATTATTGTTAAACAAAACTGCTTAAAGTCGTGTAATTACATGAACAGAAATAATTTTGGTTATGAATCCTAATTTCAATGAGTGCAAACCCATGTAAATGATGCATAAAACATGTGCACAGTATTGGCTAAAATATCCACCCACGAATCTTCAACTCTGTTGCGTGCCCAATATTCAAGACAGAAAATGCACATATAGGCTGTTCATACACAAGTGCATGTAAAATTTTGTGGACTTGCATAAAATCCATGGACATATGCTCTTTGCTTTTAGCAAAGATGAAGAAATTGGTGGACTGCATTAGTCTAGACCTAATTAACAACTTTTAGTCATCAATCCATTTGAATGCGAAAGCCACAGAACACCATCAAGAACAGTAATTCTTCGAGCCCAATCCCAAAACAGATTCTACACGGTAGAAAAATGACACCAAAATATTGTCACACCAATTATGAACTAACAATTACAGAATGTTCAGTCATACATATGACATCTCAAGAACTCATTCCCCGGGGCAGGAACTCACAGAAGACACGTTAAAAAAAGGGGCACAGAGAGAGAGAGAGAGAGAGAGTACAGATACAGTAGGCCAAGAATGAAAGAGTGACCAAGAATTTTCAGATACCTAAAAGAAGTGACCAGAAGACTAATCTAGTTGCACTGGAAGAAAATAGGCAAAAGGTATTTTTATCAAAATATTTATTCCCATAGCAGGAACTAAAGACCAATAATACAATCCATCCACGACCACAAAATATCTACTTTATAGTGGAAGTATAACCAACCTCATGTGGTGATGGATGAGGCCAAGTAGCCAAATTGATTCCCAAGGAATGCAACAGAGAAGCCATATCATGGCATGTGGTTTCCAATTGCTTAAGTCGTGTCCGGACCTCAGTACGAATTACCTCCTTCAAGTTCATATTTTCCTCATCCTATAAAGAGTGGAAATGAATAACCCATGTCATACAAAATTTCAAGGGATACTAACTAGTAAAGATACCTTCAAGAACCTAACAAATGAATGGATCAAGTGTAAGAAAAAGACTTTTCAAACCTTCTTTTGAGTCTCACGCATTTCTTCCACACGTTGCTTTTGTCTTCTTTCCATCTCCAACAAACGCATGCTTTCAGCTTTTTGTCTCTTCCGCAATTGCCTCAAGCGTTGTGCTTCTTCAGCCTATAAAAGACCAAACAGGCACATCATATGCAAACAGTATTTTTTATCAGAGAGCATTAATGGGATAGCCCAAAATCTTTCAATGATGTAAATAAAATGAAATTAGTGTTTGCTCCACGAAATAGCTTTGATGCTATAAATGACAGTTATTAGAAGAAAACTATGAAAATAGCAATGCATAAAGAAAAAATAAGTGAGCGTTAGACACCCATTTTATTGGGTTGAAAAATTTTGGAATAATGATTGATGAGAGAATGTGCGGTGGAAAAACAATAAAAAGTTTTAGATTTGTGTGTAATATTATTTTATTTGGAGATTGTGTGGTTGAAATGAAGAAAGAGAAAAAAATGAGAAAGTGAATGGGTGCCAAACATGGGCTAAATCATTCTTTGGTTTACTCTGTTCACTCTCTTTTTTTGCCTCTCTTGGTTAGCTCCGTTAAGGGAAGGTGTGTGACCTAGAACAACTACAAAAGTACAAATAATTGAAGGATATAGGGATAGTAGTTCTTCTAATAACTCCTTCAAAGTGGTAGAGATTTCAAGCATGAAGCTTGTTAGTAATATATAAATCAAAAAATCGTTCATTTTCAACGATACTGAGTCTGCATGTCACGAGATGTTCCAATATAAAGGCACAACATACTGAGATCTGCATTTCCATCAATTTTAATTCTCATTCCTGTTCTGGAGATGAGCTTAACTTCTTAAGGATCTAATAATATAACCCCTTATTTTCCAATTTCAGAATTATCAAATACTTTTGGTAAATTTATTTTGTTTTGTAACTCTTCTTAGCCCCTATTTGGTCCAAATTATAATTTAGATTTCAATCTAAATCAAAATCAACAATTAATTTTAATCACACATTTCATGGAACCCACAACTTTTCAACTGCTCATTTCATCAACTTTTATCAAAATCTACTAAAAGTCTGATTTTAATATCTACCAAACAGGGGCTTATATTCTTTAATCAAGCTAGAGAAACTTGATAAAAAAAGAAGTTTCAGGATCTTGTTTCATTTTCACAATTAAGCCATTTGTTAATGAGCTTTAACTAATCAAAAAGTCCAGGTGGCACAACAAACCTAGTTAGATCCCCAGTTGCAAACATTAAGCCATAATTTTAATTTCTGTGAACCAGATTAAAGAACCAAGAAGCCTCAACCTACCACATCAGGTGATAAAAAGTTCCAGTGTAAGTTTTTAAGCAGGATGCATCATGTTAGAGGAAGCACTAAATATCTAAAGTGAAAATTTGACGTGGTATTACTATTGAGACACTCTGGAGTAAAATATGTACAATTAATTTGGAAACAGTAAGCACTCAATACCTACTAGAGAAGCACTTCTCATCTATTATACCTTGGAATACCAGAACCTAATGTTGGTAGCAATTGACAATAGTCTTTCAAGCCACACAATAAACTGTTACAAATCATGGACAGGAACACACTAAAAGTTTTGGAAAATTCAAGTAGAAAAGTTTCAGCCTGAAATTAAAAATACGAAGCTTTGAAATAAATATCTATCAAAAAAGGTTGCAAATAAAACATCATTCAGAAGAGCATACAAAAGAGAGAATCAAGAATCATAACCAACTTCCGCCAGCATTAACAAGCAGGCATCACAAACTTCATTTAGAACACTAAAATTCGCATTATGTACATTGATCTAGATTTAGATTTGTATCACCCTAATTGGTTACTGGAGTTGGATTTGCTATTCTTTTTTATCAATGTTAGATGTGCTCATTTACTTAAATAATACCTACATTTAAAAGTTGAATTTGAACTTAAAAACAATTCTACAAGCCTTAATGTGTCATAGCAAGCTAAAATAGCATTCAAAAATGAAAAGTAATCCCCGAATATTCTCACGAAAACATAACTAATGAAGAAAAAAACCAACATGCAGCAAAACAGAAGAAATATAGCAGGGATGGTAATAAACCTGAATTTGTAATGCCCGTTGCCGAGAAGCCCACTCTTCTTCTACCGCTTTTTTGTATTCATCTGTTTCCTTAAGCTTTTCTCGTTCGTTAATGATACAATTCTCTACGACTTGGGAATTATCTCCATATTGGGTATGTTGCCGATCATCTCTTTCAACCTCCTCCAGAATGTTTGATACAGGTTCAATGAGCTTTTCCACAGCCTCATCTGAACAAGAATCATCCTCTCTAACTAGTTTTTCATTAAGATTCCTATTACAGGATGATGGTATACCTGGAACCAACTTCTTGCTCTTGTCAATGACATCTCCCGGATCAAAAGATGAATTTTTACAGAAGGCGGCCTCTCCAGAGATAGGTCCAACTCTATTACTGGAAAGAGTAGCGTCGCCTTCAACTTGATCATTCAGTGATGAAAACTTCACAAATGAAGAATTTTCAGAAATTAAATTCTCCTTTTCCTTAACACTTCTAGTTCCACCTGGTTCACAAGGTTGCGAATGCCCCATATCCTTATCACTAAGAGTAACTTTCTCCTCAAACTTCTCAAATTTGGTTCTTTCATTAGATACGTCATTTTCAACATCAGTTTCAAATGAACTTTGATGCTTGCACATGGAATCCTCTTCCTCTACTAAACTAGCTTTCTGACGACAAAATTTTGTTGGAGTTTCCTCATCATCTTCAAGAGAAGTTGAATGATTAACTTTCTTAGTTCCCTGTCCGTGTAGAGGAGAATAAGATGAAGGTGTAGAGTTCTCGTTTTGCTTCTTGTGACAGCTGGAACTACCTAAATCATAATGTCGGGAAGCTTGCTGCTCAGTAAAGTTGAAAGGAGGATATTCTCTAGAATGTGACCTCTCATTAATATCAGGCTGATTATTCCGCGTGTGTGTTTTCAGGTCTGATCGAAAAGAAAAATCATCAGGGGTAGGAACCTCGAAAAAAGTGCTACTGAAATTTACATCCTCCTTTGTAATAAAAGGAGATGGAACTTCATTTTCTTCACTGGATTTGCGTGTACTAGAACAAAATGGGACTTCCTGATGTTGTCCACTATTGCTTTCCTTTACAACATTATGGTGGTGATTATCATTGAAATCCTTTGAAGTATCATCACAATCTTTAGCATCGTATCCACCATTACGCTTATCCTTTTTTCTCCTAAAGAAAGCCTTTTCCCACTGTTTTTGAAGCTCTCCAGAAGAATCTTCCATTAAAACACAGTCAGGAGAATCTTTCCCGGATAAATCACTTTCTGAATTGACACTTGGACCATAGCCATTTCTTGTGGAAGCTTTTCCAGAGTAGGTACGCTTGCATTTTGATAACCTAACTGGAGTCGCATTTTCTTGAACAAACTGGCATTCTTCACCAGCAGAATCTGCATCATTTTCAAACTCTTTGGAGTCAAAGCAAGATTTCTTGCTATGGGTAGCACCATTAGAGAAACTATGATTGTCATTTACACCAATATCAGAACAGTTGTCATCCATGCTTTCGTCATCATCAATACATATAACAGTCCTAAATGGCCACTTTTTGTCTTTCCTGAGCATTTTTGAACCCCGGGATTTCTTTGGAAAAGATTCAGGAACATCAATGATAACGTCATTATCGAAATGATCAGGATCTACATCAATAAAAATAACATTGTCAGCTTCCCCGTTATTCCAGCCCTTTCTTGATGTTTTCCTCTGAGTGCAGGGTCTTGGATGTGAATGGCCTATGGATATTCCCCTCATTTACCACTGAATGGAAAGCAATCAATTAGCTAGATACTTAAGAGAAAAATAAAAAATACTCCATTCTCAGTATTGCAAATACGTGACTACAAAGTTGCAGCATATTGCAAATACACCATTCCTAATTGCCCATGTTCATAAGCCACGTACATGGATACAAAGTTGCAGCATATTGCTTACTTAGAAGGAATTATGCAAGAGGTACTTAAACCTAGACCACAGTAGCTATGTACGCGAAGAATCAAAAAAAAAAAAAAAAAAGAAAAAGAAAGAAAAAGTGAGAGCATGCAATTGAGTTTCAATCCAGAGTATAAAAACTTCATAACTTTCACATGTTCAATTAATCATTATGCACTGGCTATGCAATGGAACCAAGATCACATAACAAGGTACCGCATTCGAAATTCAAACCTAAATTTCTGCAATTGTTAGCCCACACAACTATATAAGACACAAAGAGTGACACATTCACATTAAAAAAGAAAGTTCATTGTCTTGAATTACTGGCATCTCATTGTATTTCCTACATGAGCATAAACTTTTTTCTTCAAATGGCTCTAGATTACTTTAGATTTTCAATCAGATGACAATTTCTGAAATCCTACAAAGTTTATCTAAAAGCTATCCTGAATTCGCTTTTCGTTCACTATCATACCCTCTCCACAAATACTCACTTTTATATTGGTCAGCCAATATTTTATGATATATTGATTCACTTAGTGCTTTTTGGATTTCTTGCCAAAATTATAATGTGATAGAAATGAGTGGAGGATAAGTCATAAGTGGGTAATAGTTGTGGGTCATACGAAATGTGTGGTTAAAATTAAAGTTTCACTCTAACCTTGGAATTATAAGGAGATTATAATGAATGAAAAACAAGCTCTTATTTTCTGTTTCCACTTTTTCTTCTAGCCTAAATGATTTCAACCAAACTGTTCTTAATCAGTAAAATTAATAAATGCAGTTGTAAATTCTTAATCCATCCGTTTTGTTTCCCAAAAAATATTTAACAAACCAGGAAAAACAGTGCAGATAACCCATGAAAATAGCCTATTAACAAGAAACTAAAGAAAGTACCTGAATCATAGTGGGATTCAGAACTTTTAACAGAACCACTTTCTACAAGCTTTACATCTACTAAATGAAATAAATCCTCCATACCAGTTCATTAGGGGGAAATTAATCAAAAACTTGTTTACATACTGGATATATAATGGAACCAAGAGTGCAAGAAGTGGTACCATTTAAACCTAAATTCACTAAATGTTCTCGCACACAATTAAATACAGCAAAGACTGCAATATAGACACATCAAAATTTCAATTTCATAGTTTCAAATTCATGGAATTGAATTTTGTCGTCCAAACATATAACTGACACATCAATATGCATATTTTTATCAGAATACACAATTAACTGTCTAGTTCATTAACAAAGTACTGCCTTTTAATTCACATTTAACATTGAAAACTCTAGCACCTCTCCTATTGATCTGTAATGAACTAACCAGATTCGCTAATTTTCCACGAAACTCAATTCATCTAGTTCATTTTGCTTTCTGTTCTTTTCTCTATTTAGTGCAGCCAAACAGTCTTTAATCAGTAAAACCATATGTCAATTCAAAATCCCCGACCTTTGTTATGCCTTTAAAAATAAAAAATAAATTAAACAAGGAAAATGATTCAGATAACCCATGAAAACCTTCGATTATAAAAAGACCGAGAAAGAATTGAACAAACCCAGTTCCCAAAACCCTTTCACAATTAATATTACAAGTATGTAAACATCAACCATAAGCCCTAATTGAATCATAATCCCAGGTAGCATGATAAATTGTAAATTGGGAAAAAAAAATTACCTGTCGAGATGAAAGCTGTTGGGTTCTAGATCAGCCGTTGGGAGTAAATTCCGAAATTTATTAATGAAATTGGGGTAGGGGTTTTCCCGTGGAAATTCAAATTAATTTGAACGCCCAAACGTTGAACTTTCAAAGAGAGAGAGAGAGAGAGAGAGAGAGCGTCTTGTCTTTGCTGAGAAAATTACAAAAGTGGCCTGATAATTGCTTCGTATGTTGCGAGACTCTTTGAACATAGCAAATAAGTGATATCTAGTTCGAAGAGCTAATATTTAAAATCTTGTTTCAAGATACGGTTTAAATTAACATTTCACTCTTATAATTAATTGCATTTAAAGTATTTCAATTTTCAATGTAGAAAAATAATAAAATAATTTAAAGAAGATCTAGTTAAAATAAAAGATAAAACAAAAATAATAAATATACTTTGGGAGTAGTAAAATTAAGCCCCCGTTTGGCACCCATTAATTTTTCATTCTCATTCTCATTCTTCATTTCAACCACACATTTTTCAAATAAAATAATATACACACAAATCAAAAACTTTTCATCACTTTTCCACCATACATTCTCACATCAATCACTATTCCAAAATTTATTTTCTCCTCAAAATTAGATTCAAACACACCCAAAGTGTTAAATATAAAGAGCTTATTGGAGTGTTTCAAAATTTTAATTCTTTAAATTTATCTATGCTCTACAAATAATACTCTGTTTTTTGAAAATAGAAAATTTATTGGAGATGCTTTTATTGGAACAAAATATAAAACAACAAAAGAAAATAGGACTATACTACTTGTACATAATTTCTTGTACATAAAGGTGTCCACCCTCTCACATGGAGTGGACCCCGCATGATTAAAAA